TGTAGCTCGCTATACAACCATGATTACTACAATCTACCGCACTATGCAACCGTGATTACTGCAATGTAGCTCACTATACAACCATGATTATTACAATCTACCGCACTTTCCAACCGTGATTACTGTAATGTAACGCACTATACAAACATGATTAAAACAGTTGTAGCGCAACATAGAACCGTGATTACTACAATGTAGCGCTACAATGTAGGTATAGCGCACTATACAACCATGATTACTACAATGTAGCGCTCTATGCCACTATGATTACTACAAAGTAGCGCACTATACAACCATGATTACTGTAATGTAGCTCGCTATACAACCATGATTACTACAATCTACCGCACTATGCAACCGTGATTACTGCAATGTAGCGCACTATGCAACCATGATCCCCGGCCGCGTCATACCAAAAGACGTTAAAATATGGTACTTGTTGGTCCCTGCCTGGCGCTCGGCATTAATGGGTACAACAAGGACTGGTCTGCTCGGAGTCAGTATAATGTGTCTGAGTGGGGTATTCATGCTTCACTGCGGCAAGGTATCTCAGTGGGCTAGCACTATAAAACCAGCTTAAGTCTGGGCTAGTACAAGCAGCCGCACATACACATACATGCACGTCGTCATATGAGCGAAATATTCTCAAGCACGACGTTAAACCCAATGTCACTTCACCTCACCATGATTACAGCAGTTGTAGCGCACTATAGAACCGTGAATACTGCAATGTAGCGCACTATACAACCATTATTACTGTAATGTAGCTCACTATACAACCATGATTACTACAATATAGCGACTATACAACCATGATTACTACAATTTAGCGCAATATGCCACCATGAATTACTACAGTGTAGCGCACTATACAACCGTGATTACTACAATGTAGCGCACTATACAACCAATATTACTACAATGTAGCTCACTATACAACCGTGATTACTGTAATGTAACTCACTATACAACCATGATTACTACAATGTAGCGCTACAATGTAGGTATAGCACACAATACAACCATCATTATTGTAATGTCGCGCACTATACAACCATTATTACTACAGTGTAGCGCACTATACAACCCCGATAACTACAATGTAGCGCACTATACAACCATGATTACTACAGTTTAGCTCACTATACAACCATGATTACTACAATGCACCGCACTATACAACCATGATTACTACAATATACCGCACTATACAACCGTTATTACCGTAATGTAACTCACTATAC